ATACACATGTATGCTTATATAAGTTGACTGACGCTGCGGAGAAGTTCTAAGCCTTATGACGCACATGGGTGGTTGTCAAAATTATGGTCCTTTTTTGGGTACCCTAAATATTAGGTGCCGTATTTATAATAGGGATCCAAAAAGGGACCATAATTTTGACAACCACCTATAAACCCTAAACCCTAAACCCTTAAACCCCAGAGCCTTAAACCCTAAACCCCTAAACCCTAAACCCCTAAACCCTAAATCCCTACGTCTAAAGTACCATCCCTAGCCTTTGGCCAGCAATGTTCGTAGAAGGCCCAGGGCCTGTCACTGGGCTTAAGGCCTTTGGGGTTTAGGGTTTAGGGCTTAGGGCTTAGGGTTTAGGGTTCAGGGGTTTAGGGTTTTGCATGGTTTTGCTTAGGTGTAAGGTTTATTAGGGTTTGGGGTTTACTTTACCAAGGTTTAGTGTTTGGAGTTTACTAGGGTTAGGGTTTCCTAGGGCTTACTTATGAGGGTTTAGGGCTTATTAGGGTTTACTAGTATAGCAAGGCCCCTCCTGGCTGCTGTGTTTGATATCACCCCACCCTGCCAGGATCCCTTTTCATTTGCCCATTGTGCCTCTTTTCTTCCTATGCATGTGCCCCCAAAATCCTAACTTCGCATGGTTTAAATACGAAAAGGTAGACAGGGATGGTGTGTCAGGTTTTTTTGTTCTGCGCTTTTGTCCGTGCTGCAGCTGGTCCCGAAGCCCACTGGGCGAGCCCTGTACGCACCTGCTTTCAGGCAGCCCTTTCTTGGGCCGGACAATCAACGAGCAGCTTTGCACATGCCGGCATCGCCCCTTACCAGAAGACTATTGCCGGTCGCAGCAAAAACGTAAACCTCTTCAACCAAGCGGGAGAGGGCATGCAGCCGGAGTCAAAGGTAGTAGGGAAAATTATACGAACCCAGAAGAACCCCAAACCAACCTGCAAGTTGCGTGAAGCAGCCCCATGTGGTCAGGCCTCACTCCATCAAGCCGCCTCCCTTGCCATCCACCTCTCTGGATTTCTTAGCCTGCTCCTTGCTTTGGCGTCACATCCCGCATGCCCCTGACAATCCTCCAAGTCATTCTCGTCCCTTGAGTCCCTTGAGGCTTTGGGTGCTTAACTGAAGGGTTTTGGCTTGAGGGTTCTGGTAGTGATTTTCAAGGACTTCTCTGAATCCCATCTGTAAGCTTCATTACGCGGGATTTCCAGGATGTCACAAGATTGGTTGGCGTCCTTTGATCTGGCGTCCTCCTCTAAACCCCTTGCACTGGGAGACATATTCTAGTTCCGCAGGTCTTCTCTCTACGCTCTGAAGGGTTTTGCTGAATCAACACGTAAACCCTAAACCCTAAACCCTAAGCCTGCCAGGAACCACCTCATGGAAGGCCTCATTCCACGCATCTGCGCGCCCAATGGCATTGATGGCAATGGTGTATTCCTGGTTTGGTGTCGTTTATGGCAATGGTGTATTCCTGGTTTGGTGTCGTTTAGCGTCTCGTTCCTTCAATCGCTATATAAGCTCTAGATAAACCCTATATAACCGTATGTAATCTCTACATAACCTTGGACACCTGCAAACACAGCTTCTACACGCAGGACTTGCGGCTCTGCTTCCTACTACGAGCATGACTATTGCTGCGATATCATGTACAACA